CTTGGAACCAATGAGACGGGAACTAAAAATAACATCAGAAGCTACGCTTTAATATTTTTTCAAAACATGATTGACATTAGATCAATAAGATGTGCTCATAAGGATATTCTTATTGTTCATTTTTAACATTCAGGAGTAAACCATAACTGTCATATTATTAACATCTATTTATTGAGTTCTTGTATTGTAATAGGAAGGTGCTTATGTTTTTCTGTTAATTTTCATATTATTTGGGAAATGGTGTTTTTTTTTTCTTTATTTGACTATTCAGGCAATGGTAACTTGGAGATATTAGCTAAAATGTCCAAGGTCAACAGCCAGGAACTAGTGCGATTGTGTTTCTGTTTCTAAACCCGGCTCTCTGGCTCCAGACAGATTTCTGATTCACGATAAACTGTACTTCTTCCTTGTGTGGTAGCTCACAAATCACCCATCCAAGGGTTTTAGTAACCATTGTATTTTGTGTGCTTGGCTATTTCACCTCTGGGTTGTTTTGAGATGGTCAACAGATGCTTATTACTGAAGAGGATAGCTATACTTTCTTCTCGGTTCTACGGAGACAGTTGTTAGAAGACTTAAGGCGAGCCTAAGGTATTCAATCGAACCCAAGTGGTGTAGTGGCCATGCATTGGGCTGTTAACCCCCAAGGTCAGCAGTGGGCAACTACCTGCTGCTTCACGGGAGAAGCACAAGGCGTTCCCCCAGGAGCAGGTCTACACTGCCCTATGGGGTCACTATGGCTCAGAATCAACTCCATGACAACGGATTAGCCTTTTACTTAAAATATCTCATAGCCTGACCACTCTCACTGGTTGAACAGCTTTGTCAAATGCTCCCCTTTCCCCAATTAAAAAAAAAAAAGCAAACTTCCCACATTATATATAGTCATTGTTACAAAATTCTGTCTACAATTTTATGCAAAGCAATATGTGTATACTGAGTCAACACAGAGGGCCATATCTGACTTCTGGCTTCCGATTATCAGGAGGCAGAGCTCAGACATGCCTCCAGCCCTCCTTTCATCTTTTATCCACCAAGGCATGGTGGGTTATATGTCGGGCTGCCAACAGCTGTGCTGAGGGAGAAAGATGAGCCAGTCTGCTCCCATAAAGAAACCCACCAGGCAGCTCTGCTTTATCTTACTTGCTATGAGTTGGAATTGATTCTATGTCAATGGGTTTCATATATATAGTTGGGATGTGTGTTCATTCCAATAAAGCTTTTATATTCCACTAGATGGCAGTAGACCCAAGTGCAACAAGAATGCACCCTAAGTGCTCTATGTACTGAAAAGGATGCTGAAGAAATGGTGTGTTCCTTTAAGAATGTGTGGGAACTAGTGTTCTTTCTCATATATAAAAATGTAATATCTTTTTCCACTTTAAAGTCACCTCTGTTGAAGTACAGGTGAGTTTTTCTTCAAGGAACTATTCGTGGCTCTATAAACTGTTGACTATGGTTTATATGATCAGATAAACTAGCTTGGAGTCACTTGGCCACTGTCTTCTGTAGACAGGACAGGGATGTGAGGAGAAGAGGCACCACCATGACAAGAATGACCCGTTTTGTCTTTGTGCTGGCATTTCTGAGCATCCCCCTGCCTCTGCCAGGAACAGCCATTGTCCATGGTTTACTGTTTCATAATTGAGGATCCCACAGGACCTTCCCAATTATCTCTTCCTTCTCTTAAGAATCCCTACTTCCTGTGAACTGGGGCTTGCTGCTCAAAAACTTGGGAAATAAATAGAGTGGATTTAGGTTCCTACTGGGGCTGTTAGTTCTACTGAATTCTTTTCATGGTTTCGTACTTTTCTATTGTTTATTACTTGGAAAGTTAAACTCAGTCAAAAAGCCCTCAGTCTTTTATTTTGTTTTGCTGTTCATCAATTTAACAGACATTATTAAAGGTCCTATTGCTGTTCTTGCCCCATTTTCACCTGTCTAGGCTCTCCGTAGTTGTTTTTGGTTCTTTGTGCATTCTAGACATTGCTCCTTCATTTTTCACACATGCTATATAGTCACTACCTTTTGTTTTAAAGACTTTTGAGTATAACAATTTCTATTCTCATCTGCGTGTTTTTCTTACTTTATGCCCATCAGATAAAGTGAAACGTTTAGTGTCTGTGGACTTGAATTTCTCATACATGTTTATAGACCTTTAGTAAAATGCAAGATTAAATCCTTTGTTCTTTTCTTGTGCTTCCTCCGGCCCGCTTAGCTATTTATAGCAATTTTTTTCAGTATTGAGAATATTAACACTGCTGCTTTTCATATGCTGTGGATCTGTCCTCTCATGTGGATCTGTTCTCCCATATTTTCCATAATAACTGTTGGTGTGGTTTGTTTTGTTTCTCTCTACGCCAATTTGTAAGTGTCTTCCTCTATGGTAGCCATAGGTATCAGCCCTAGGTAATATTTTTATCAGCCCTAGGTAATATTTTATCCATAACTTTCAAATCATATAATAACTATACACTTACAATTCATCATAGCAGTTCATGTTTTTTATGTTCTAGTATTCATGTTATAAGTACTAATATAAATATGTTAGGGAGTTCTGCGGGCTCAGGGGTTGTGCCTTGGCTGCCAAGGTGGCAGTTTGAAATCACCAGCTGCTACTTGGGTGAAAGACCGGGCTTTCTCTTCTTGAAAAGCGCTGTCATATTAGAAACCCACGGGGCTGGTTCTACCCAGTCCTACAGAGTCACCATGAGTCAGAATTGACTGTATGGAAATGAGTATTTATGTTAATAAGTGATTGGGAATTTATTTTGTAATATGATGTAAGGTATGCCACCAAATGGTTAGTAATTTATTCAACATTGTTTCTCATGTCATGTGATTTTTTTTTTTAAAGCAATACAGGAACTAGATGGCAGGCTCTACTTACGGAGTCCCACACCACACAACCTTTGTCTTTTTCACACGCCCCTCCCTTTCTTTGCTATAGAAGCTTTAACCTTTGGCAGTTTTTAAGAAAACATGTTGATGTCAGAAGGAAATACAGAACTAATTACAAGCAAGCGTAAATTAAAAACAGCAAGCAAAAATTATCCATCCTATGAAAGGAGTACCTCATATGCACAAAATAAAAGCAAAAAGAAATGCCCTTGAAACTGGCACACACACAAAAAATGCTGGTACTATATGTTACATTGCAGGTTCCCAAACTCATTTGGCTTACTGCCAAATTCAGGAAAACAATTGCTCGGTGCCTCCCAGACAATTCAGAGCTTTTGTGCTGTAGCCTGTAATCCCAGATCAAGTGTAGCTAGCTGTCTGCTTTTCAGGAGGAAGATGAGGCATTCTGCTCCTGTAAAGGTGTACGGTCTTGGAAACCCACAGGGGCAGCACTACTCTGGCGTACGCTGTCACTTATGAGCCAGAATCGACTCGGTGCCACTAAGGTTGGAGTTTGGTTTATATTAAAGCTACCAAAGTCATTAATTAACTTTAAATAAAAAGAATAGATGGCTTTTTCTTTTTCTTTAGTTCTTTTATTCTCACTGCCAGTGAATGAAGGGACCCTATAGGACAGAGTAGAACTGCTCTTGTGGGTGTCCAAGGCTGTACATCAGGCCTCATCGTTCTCCTGAGAAGCTCTTGGTGGTTTCAAACTGCTGACATCATGGTTAGTAGCCTAATGTGTAACTATTAGACAACCAGTACCTTAGGCTTTTTTTTTTTTTTTTAAGGAAACTTGGAAAAAACCTTTTATTGTAAGTTGTCTACTCTGAGCTTTTGCTAATTTTTCCAGTTCTTAGAAATATGAATTTCTCTGCTTTGAGATGGATTTTTCAGTTTGTTCCCCTTTGATTTTCTGTGCCGCACTGCTTTGAGATGGATTTTTCAGTTTGTTCCCCTTTGATTTTCTGTGCCGCAGTGCTCCTAAACTTCTGGATTGTGAATTTAGCAACAGTATTTAACCCCCAGTGATGCTTTTAAACCTATTTTTTATACTCGTAATCTAGGTTCAGTAACTGAAATTTTTCAACTTTTGTTTAATACATCTCTTTCTCTCTTATTCAAATTTCTTCAAGTATTCTTGCCATTTAAGGCGCGGGGGGAGGGGACCCTCATTTTATTTTTTAAATAGTTTCTTTGCTTTTTTCTGGTCCAGGGTCAGACAACCAGGAGACCAGCTTTGGGTGCTGCAGTGGTCCTTGTTTGAGGACCGCCCACTGGTCTTTTCTCACTTCTTCATCTTTGTTTCTTCCTTTTGTGATATTAATAGATTTGAAAATTCCAGAACCCAGTCTAGATTGGTCTGGGTTTTTTTTCCCCTCCTGACTAAAGTTAAACATTTTAGCAAGGAAAATACATACGAATCTTGCATTTCCTCATTGCATCATGCCAGGAAGTTAAAATGTCAGGTTGCCCTATTGGTTAGTCATTTGTTTTTAAGCAAACATTTATCTCTGATCAAGTTATCTTTTTTCTTTTGAGATTCTGATGTGATTAATGTGGTAGAAATTTGAGGTTGTGTGAATACCCCGAAGTTCCTTTCCTGAATCAGTTGTTAAGTGTTCTACACTCCAAACTCATTGCCTTTGATGGAGTCCAACGCATGGTAACCCTGTAGGACAGAGTAGAACTGTCCCTGGGGGTTTCCCAGACTGCACATCTTCACAGGTGTAGAAATCCTCATCTTTCTCCCAAATTATCACATAGGTAAATGGGAAAAAAAAATTTATAATTCCATTATTTCCTTCACATTTATTTGAATGGACTTCTATGTGCCATTGTTGATAGCAGAGGGAAGAAGATATTTTTGAATAAGGCAGTTCCTCATGTTAACATCCACATAGTTTTCACTTAAATATTAATCTATTGTCACTAATTTGTTTTAAACAAACCATTTACCGTTTCTTTTAAAAAATGGAATGTTTTAAAAATCTTCATTTTATATCTTTTTAAAATGTTCAATTGTGTGATTTAATTTCTTATATTTGTTCCCTAATATTTTAAAATAATCAAATGTTATTTTTTCATTATAATAGCTGTGGAAATACAAAGGACCCTAAATCAACTTGGAACACCTCAAGATTCACCTGAATTGAGGCAACAGCTGTAAGTATTTAATTGGAAAAAAGGAGGAAAAAACGGCTAACCGTTGTGTTGCTTAGAGAGTGTGTAGTACGTCTTTCAGAGAAATCAATGGAAAATTAATTTTCTGCTGTCTTACCCATACATTTACAACCAAGTGTATTTCTTTGTGGCATGTTTTCCCACGCCCAGAGAGGAGAGTGTTATTGTCCGTTATGGTTCTTGTGCTTGATAGAGGAGCCTTGACTTCTCTATCAAGCAGAGCTTCTTTGATTGACTTTCTTAGACTTTGTAATAGGTTGTTTCAAGTTCTGACAGCCTTCGAGAAATCATACTTTAGGCTTCTCCATTTAAGTGAAATCTGATGGTCTTGCCCATGACCATATTTTTATTTGGTTGAGATCCAATACGTGCCCAATATAAACGAGCCCCACAAAGCTTTTCTATACATCCTCAAATTTTATGGAGTCACCTGATACATATTCTAGGTATGTCGTATGCTATTAGGATAATGGCAGTAACACTTTATCTTATAGTAATAGATTTTTGGATGGTTTCTGCACATTTCCTCAGCTGTGTCTTACACACTTAGAGTGAGAAAGAACCCGAAAGCTATTTCCACTTTGTTCACAAGGAAAATACATCTCTTACGGGTTTGATTATTTGGCCAGCTCTTCAGTACCTAATCTTAAGTCAGTGATGTTACTGCTACAATCTCAAGTCATATGGAGGTAGTGGCGTTTTCTGATTGTATTCCCTATGAGACGTATTGCAAAAAGGAAGACATTAAAGGTGGATAATAATTCATATTTATTGTGAAGTACAGTTTGAGAAATTTATATTGTATTTTTCTTGCAGCAGACAGATAATTAGGGTGGTAAAATGTCCTAATTAAAAATAGTAAGCCATAATAAAAGTAAAATGAAAGTATTTAATCCTAATAGCTATAATGGTTTGATAGAATTAATAGGGAAAATTCTGACTATCTTGATACAATTATAGAGGTATTTTTTAAAGAGTTGCTTGTAACCTTTTTCAAAAATTTTAAAAAGCATCTTAAAGATAAAGTATTTGGTAATTTCTAACTAAAGTTACAATTCTTCCTTACCACTCAAATAGAGATAGCTATTCTTTAATACGCTTTTATAAAGTATTATATCATTTTAAAGAATACAAACTATGTGCTAGAATGACAGATTTTTCAATTAAAATATCTATAATAGATATAATGCTATGTTATGTTATAATACATTATAAGGAGCATTGTTAAGCTGTTGGCTAGTATCTGAAAGGTCAGTGGTTTGAGGTTACCGGGTGCTCCATGGAAGACAGGTGTGACTGTCTGTCGCTATAAAGATTATAGCCGAGGACCCCGATAGGGTGGTTGTACCCTGTCCTATAGGCTATACAGGAGTTGAAATCAACTGGACAGCAATAGGTTGTAAATCTGTATATACGAGGGGGCTTCAGAACATTTGTTGAAAAATACAATTTAAAAGTAATGGAAATTTCCCATGAGTTTTGGTTTGTTTGTTTTTTTGAAGCTTCTCATGTGTGTTATATGTTGTATGTTAGTTTCAATGTACAATTTATAAAATCTGAACTTAGTATGAGATTTTATAAATTGTTATTATAATACACAAAGTTTCAAAAGGTTCATGTAAGAATTTACATGTGTGAAATTTAAATATGTATGAATTTATGAAAACTATATGTGAAGGATACAGATATTGTCATTTATAAAGTATCACATTAATACAAGTGCTTTCTTTTTACTCTTAAGCTTTTAATATTTAAAAATCTTTCTACTTTATAAACTAAATAGCTAATATAGCTTAACTCTGGTTAAGTGTTCTCTTTACAGAGAATAGCTTTTTTTTAAATATCAAATTTAAATAATAGTACTTTTATCCTAATATTTATTAGTTACTCCCCAATTTTTGTTTTCTAAGAATCTATAGATTATAAATACCTAGATAGAGAATTAGGAACAGTCAGATGTGCCCTAAGGCTTGGGAACTAGACAGTAAGTTTTCTTGACTTGCTCTCTACTGGATCCTAGGCACTGGAGGCAGATAAAGGCTCCTGCACAACAAAATGTCTTACACAGAGCATCAGACATTTCCTTATCCAGTAACTAATTCCTTTGTAATTTGAACCATCGTATTTATTAATGACTTCTATTTACTTTTCTGAACTTGCCTACCTTCTGTGAGGAAGGACCCATCCATGTAGTATTTATTATTCCATATTTATTGAATACTGTAACCCAAAAACATTGTATACGTGGGGGGAAATTAGAGTTAGTCCTTGAAAAGCAAATTTCATGAAAATGTACTCATCAGGGATGATTCAAGTAACAGAGTTGTAGCTTCAAGAGGTGTTTTGTTGCTGGGCTGTAATACATGTTTTCTCACTTCAGGCAGCAGAAGCAGCAGTACACTAACCAGCTTGCCAAAGAAACAGATAAGTACATTAAAGAGTTTGGATCTCTGCCCACCACCCCCAGTGAACAGGTATCAGGCTTTAAGACACTTTGATGTACTGAATGTGAAAGATACCAAATGTATCGTGGGACCTTTGAACTGTTAAGAGAAATTAGAAGGGAAAATTCGTTCACCGGGCACAAAAATATATTTAATTCTTGGGTAGTATCTTGGGATTCAATAAGGCAATAAGTTTGCCCAGACAGTTGCCCTGCCCTGTAATTTAGTGCTTGGAAAATGCTTCCTGAGTAGACAATCCCCAGCTGTCCAGAACTGAGTGTGTGCCCTCGCTCACAGTGTGACCTGTCCTGGGTGCACACATTTCCAGCCTTATATACTGGGCGGAAACTAAGACTCAGGTGAGATTCGAAGGCCTACCGAAGAACTGCTTGAAACCAACATGAAACTCTTGACCCAGTTTCTTTGGCGTGTGAAAAGGAGAAATATAGCACTGTGAGCTTTTTTGCTGGAGGTAAATACTTAGGGCATTTAATGATCTTGTCACAATGGTGTTGGGGGTTATTCAGTAAAGCCATCTGGTTGGGGAGTGAATGGTGACTTCAGTATTAAATGGGGAGCTATGGTCACTGTAGTTCCCCCTTATCGCTAAGGCAACTTTGGTAAATCCCGTAGAACTTCACAACTTGATTCCAGTAGGTTTGTTTCTCACCCTTTCCTCTAGCGTCAAAGGAAAATCCAGAAGGATCGCTTAGTGGCGGAGTTCACGACCTCACTGACAAATTTTCAGAAGGTTCAGAGGCAAGCTGCTGAGAAAGAGAAGGAGTTTGTTGCTCGAGTCAGAGCCAGCTCCCGGGTGTCTGTAAGTATTTAAAGCGCATTGTAAAACTGACTCGGATCTTCACTGAGGGCACTTGGAAAGAGAATGTACATAGCAGAGGACAAAAGATTGCCGTGGCACACGTGTAGTTTTAAATCACGAAGACCTGTGAAGATCTTGGAAATTTGAGTATTTATGTTCAGGTTTTTCTCTCTGTTTGAGAGGGAAGGTTATGTAACACTGGTGGATTTGCCTCAGGTTGTGCAGCAGAAGCTTTCAGAGAATAGAAAAATAAAGAAAGATACTTGCCTGAAAGACAGGACCACATTCTGAGTAGTAGTTCCACATTGACTTGGTACGTGAGGCTATCAGTGTTTAAATGCCAGTATTGCCACACTTCATGTTTGGATGATATGAAGATGATGGAAATGAACAGAGTGGATGTAGCATTAATTTAAAGAATGAATATAAGCCTGGAAAACAAAAATGAAAACATTAAAGTGGAATTTTTAGTTATCTAAATTAAAATTCCTTAGAAATGATCAGAAGTTATTGATGTTGAAGTTCTAAGACTACATTAAGTTCTAACTAATTAATATTTATTTGGCCCTTGAGACGCATTCGTGAATTTTTTTCCTTGTCTAATTAAAAGAGAAAGCATTTTATACCTAGTCCTTGAAGCAGTGGACTTAAGAAATTAGTGTTTTTTTCTTTCACCTTTCCCACTCCACTCTGTCTTCCATTTACCTTGCTCTATAAGAAGCAGCTTCAAAAAGTTCGTGAAGAAATTCTATTATCTTAAAATTCCGTTTTTCCATGAACTTTCTGAAGCCCCCTCATATGTGTGTGCCACAGATGTATACACACAGACATGCATACATCATGTATATATATATAAATCCATACATCTTCATAAATCAGCTAAGGATATATCAGGGTAAAATGTGACATGATTTTGGTGGTGATGATTATTGCCTTTCTTTACCCAACATCAATCCATCCTGATATTAAATTTTTCAGGGTGGTTTTCCGGAGGACAGTTCCAAAGACAAGAATTTTGTATCTTGGGAAAGGTAAGCAACACGAAGCATGAAGACTGCTCTGCTTCCATTGGTTGCCCTGTCTCCCTCAGCACTCTCCACTTTTTTGCTGGGTTCACAGGGCCAGAATTGACAGACAGCTAAAAATTATGGAATTTATTGTGGAAGTTAACAAGTTACAGTTCAGGTGTGAAATGCTTAGGATATAGTTGTTCTGTCGTGATAATGTCTTTTCTGTTGGGCCTGCAGGCAAGCCTCTCTCTGACTTTTAGCCACTTGGCCTGGCCTCGGCCCTATTTGCACAATGTTACAAAACTGTTTTAGGGCTGCCAGTAAATGCCGGGTATGCTACTCCGATATCAGGCTCAACCTGAGGGCATTCAGCTCCAGCCCCACTAGTCAGCAAACCCAGCTTCCTCAGTGGCACTCCACTCCACAGGTGTATTTGCTTTACGGGCTGGAAAATCCATGTAGCTCAGGTTCTGGCTCCTCTGCCATTCCTCGGTATCAAAGCTGTCTCCTGGATCAAGGAGGTTCAGTGAGCAGAAATCTTGGAGTTGCAAGAACACTCTTCACTCCTGGCTCTTCTCTCTTACTCATAATGAGATCCCACCTTGTTGTTTCTCAATGGCTCATTTTATACTCATTAGGCTGGTAATTACATTTAACCCTGTTAACAATTACTCACAGCTAAATCATATAATCCTTTAGTGTCCTCCCCCACTGTCTTAACCCAGACCCATCAGGAAAAAGGTCATTTGATAGGAGTAAGAGGGTGTGGGTAGAAGTGCCAATTCAATTAAAATTCACTGCTCTGCAAGGTCTTAGGATAATTTTTCAAGTGTATCAATATCGTTCCGGAAACAGAATTAAAGTGTTCAGCATCATATAATAACACAAATATACAAAGTTAATTATAAATTGAAAACAATAAATGTGAATGCTTATGGAAAAAGTTTAAAATATTTATAAAATGTTATTGTTGTATTTGAAAAGTAAAGTTCAAATAAATATTTAGTGGCTTAATTATTGTTTAAAATAGATTGTTCCTTTATATGAGATTTAATTCAACCAAAAAGAACTATTCATTTGTCAAATGCTGCTTCCAGTATATAAATAACTCTAAGATGTTTATGTAAAGTAAAATAATACCAGTGGACTGAAGAATAATTAGAATTTGCTTAGTACTCCAGTTACATTTTTATGCATTTCACAAATCAGCAGCTCTCTGATTTTGCAAAGCAAAATAGTTTATTTACTAAGTATTTACAAAGTAGGAGACAAGTCCCATTGTTTTTAATCCCAGTCTTTCCTTTTTCCCTACTCCATGCTTCCAATTAGCCAACCTCAATTTCAAGCACAGGCCCAGGATGAAGAGATTACAGAAGATGACCTGCGCCTTATTCACGAGAGAGAGTCTTCGATTAGGCAATTGGAAGTAAGCCTTTCACGTGTAGACTTGGGGTATTCTGAAGCTCTGTTCTTCTCCAGATGTGTAGGTATTGCTGAAAGAGGGACCCAGAAAGGACACTGGTTACATGTATCAGTGTGGTTGCATCTCTAATGCATACAATAGAATAAGTTTGTTTGGGACAATAATGTTAATTTCTTTAGTATATGCGTCCCTGCTGATCCCCCTGCCCAATGTTTTGTTGTAGTTGCTGAGTCATCTAAAAGTCACCTTAGCAGCATTGGGAAACTGTCAACTAGAGATACACTGTCCAGATAGTTAAATAACGGCCCAGAGAGAGTCGGCGATGTCCCATGGCACATGATACACATCAGACCTGGATGCATGAGACTTTCTTCATAGATTTAAAGTTATTTTATTTCTCTTTTGTGTGTTTGTGACATCAAAGAGGTCTAAAAGGTTTATTGAATCACAGTTTCCATGGAGCCTACCTATTTCCTAGAAAAACCTCATTCACTGCCAAAGAGTCGATGCTGACTCATAGAAGCCCCATAGGACAAGGTAGAACTGGCCCTGTGAGTTTCTGGGACTGTAGCTATTTATTGGAGTAGAAAGCCTGGTTTTTCTCCCAAGGAGCTGGCTGGTGTTTTCAAACTACTAACCTTGAGGAGCGCACGCAGCCCAATGCGTAATTATACCACCAAGGCTGTAATCGAGAAGGTCTTTAGTTCAAAACCACTAACTGCTCCTTTGAAGAAAGATGGGGCTTTATACTCGAGGAAAGAGTTACAGTTTGGAAACGCACAGGATCAGTTCTAGCCTGTCTTGTAGGGTCACTATGAGTCGACATTGACTCAATGGCAGTGAGCTTATTTCCTAGGAAGTAGGTTAATAAAGCTACAGTGGACCCAGTTTATTGAGTGTTTTCCATATACTAGGTTCTATGTGATAAATTCCATTTGCAATGATCTCAGTTGTCACAAAAACTCCATGGATTAGTTACTGTATCATTATCACCATGATACAAACAGGGAAACTAAGACACAGGGGCAGAGATATAAATTGCTTCCCCACCTTTAGTAAAGCATTTCAGTTTTATTCTTTAATCAGGCAAAATAATAATTACTATGTATTGAAGAAATATACATTTTCATATATTACTCCATCATTGCTTTGTCAAATTTATTAATGTGAGACTTTATGTCTCATGTTCCTTTCTTTTAAAATGTCAAATCGATGTAAGAATCATTATTAGAATATATATAAGTCAGAATAATTTTTCATATTCTTACTAATGCAGTATAAAATAAAACTATCACTTGGCATAAAACAAGACCAGCAAACCATGGCCCCCTGGATGCCACAGATCCGTTATTGCCTCACCTGATATTTTTAATGTCACAAACTTTTCTTGGAAGACAGATGCCTGGTGAGGTCTGCCGAGAATCGCTTATAGTAAACCACTTCTTAATACTCCCCCAACCTAGTTATCAAGTCTAGATACACACTCACGTGTATGGGAGTGGTGAGTTAGGGTTTATTTTCTTTTCCCCTTTTGCAGAACAGGAGCTGAATTTCTGATTATAACATTATGTTGCTTTCCCTCTTAGGCCGATATTATGGATATTAATGAAATATTTAAAGATCTGGGAATGATGATTCATGAACAAGGAGATATGATAGGTAAGCCTTACTGATGTAATTTTCTGGATTGGGAGCAGTCTCCCTGCCCTTTACCCATGATAACTTTCTTGGGCAAGACCAACTGCTTCCTGCCCCCCCTCTGTCAGCGCTCCTTGGAGTCAGAAGGATAGTTCTCTATAATACAATAGAGCATCACCCTGGGCATTATCTAAAATAGACTTTATTTTTTACTCTTTACCACTTGGCATGACCAACTTCCTTTAATATATATTTTTTAAACAAGCATTATATTAATTAGGCTCCACTGACTCTCCAGCCAGGGAAGGAGCCCTGTAATGTCCTCCTCGTTTATTTTGCTTGCCCCTGGTTTCTGACATGTACTGATTGCTACCACTCTCCAGGGACTTTTGGTAAACCTGAAGTATTTATAATTCTGTATGCTGTATTGCTTATTAGATTAGAAGAAATAAGTAGCCATTTACCTGATCATTCTAATAGCTTATTGGTAGATTAATCTAGTAGCATTACTTCAATGCTAGGAATTATTTTTAAAAATTTTTTTTAAAGAAGACAAAATCAAAGCAATGACTATAATTCCTTTTAAATTGTCAATGAAACAGTCCTTCATTTATGGACTTAAAATAATTTACTGTGCTCTTAATTTTTACCATTTTGAAACATGGAGGTATCTCTGGGCATGTTAAACCCTACTGCTCTTTAATTGATTCAATTCCAACTCATAGTGACCCTGTAGGACAGAGGAGAGGTCTATAGGGTTTCCAAGGTACATATCTTTATGGAAGCAGACTGCCTCATTTGTCTTCCCCAGAGTGACTGCTGGGGTTGAACTACTGGCCTTTCTGTTAGCAGTCCAAGGGCTTTATCCACTGTGCCACCCAGGCATGTTCAGCGATGCATTTTATATATTTTCTGAGTTGAATTTAATTGAAATCTTTCATCTTTACTATAACTATTGCTTGGCCATCCGTACCCCTCTCTCTAGACCCAGTAGATGACAGGGTAGATTTTCAAAATCCAATTGATTATTTCAACAATTACTTATTGAACACTCCTCTAGATTAGAAATAATCTAGGTCCAGAGGAAAAGGCTGGGATTAAGTATTAATATGGGAGCCGTGATGGCATAATAATTAAATACTAGGCTGCTAACTAAAAGAGACCTCCCTTCAGTTCCCATAGCGATTATAGCCATCAGAGCCCTATGGGGCCTTTACTCGTTCACATGGTGATGTTATGAGTCCAAATTGACTCTGCAGCACTGAAGAACAATATCTGCACCTAAAGAATATTTAAGGTAGTGAGATCGGATGAGCTTCACACACACCCCCCCCATGCAGATGTAGATGGAAAGATAGGGGTTCTACGGCCTTAATCCCTGAGTCCAAAAACTGTTTTAGAATGGGTTGGCAAACTATTTCCATTTGTGTACTAGGAGCTCTCAAAAAGTCCATGGAAAAATATGAACTTGAACTTGGTGAAGCCCCTTGTATGGACTTCATCTCTGGCTGCTTTTGTACTACAGAGGCACATTTGAGTCATTGTGATAGAGATCCCATGGCCTGCAAAGCTGAATTTATCAGAACTTTATAGAAAAGGCTTGCCGACCACTGATTTAGAACTCAGAGAGCAGATGGAGCACCAACAACCCAAAAAGATTAAGCAGGAATAGCCAGTGATATAGGGGACGCCATGTGACCCCTGGGAGTGAAGTGAAGAAAATGCTTCAGAGTCTCACTTGGTCCACCTGAGAAATGGTATAGGGAAGAAGTCCAGTTTTAAAAGAAAAATAAATAAATAAAGATTCAACGAAATTCAGCTTCGTGATAATACGAATCTTACCCTTTTTGATTATTGAGGGTGTTCCACCTTCATGAAGGAAATGTAATAATGTATGCCGTCCTGCAGCATTAACACATAGCTAATTGACGGGGTGTGTTTTATTCTAAAGATAGCATCGAAGCCAATGTAGAAAATGCGGAGGTCCACGTTCAACAAGCAAACCAGCAGCTGTCCAGAGCAGCAGACTATCAGGTAGTGTTCATATAGTCAGTTTCTTAATCGTGTGTGTGTGTGTGTGTGTGTGTGTGTGTGTGTGTGTGTACTTTTTGCCTGCTTTAAGTGTGTGTGTGAGTGTGTGTGTGTACTTTTTGTCTGCTTTAAGTGTGTGTGTGTGTGTGTACTTTTTGTCTGGTTTAAGTGGCTGGAGATAATAAAATCACAGAAATGCCCCAGTCACTTTAGAACTGGTTTTAACCTGCACACTCTTAGCTTTGAACCAGTGACATGGCCCTCAGCAACAGCAAGTTTTGGGTGAAGAGCCCTAGAGTAGCAGTAGCGGATTCTAGACCTTGCTGATGGCTGGGGTGACCTCTAATGTCATTGTGACTCTCCAACCCAGAAGTCTCTTTGATAGCCTCCCTACCTTCCTCGACGTTCCCTTATACTGGTACTTGCTATTGATTGCATTCCAGACTAAAGCAAGATTTTTGTTCTGGAAAAATCTCTTCAAGTCCTAAGGAAATTATATCAGATCCGAATGTCGCTGACCACTACATAGTCTATCAGCATTCAGCAGACCCTTCCCCAGGAATTAATTTTATTTCTTTTAGTGGATCTGGTTAACATAGGAAGTCCATGCATGTCTTTCAAATATAAGTTATGCACAAAGTACTATACGGAAATTAGGGCGATAAATTATTAATATATAAAGGAATGTGCAGACCTTTGATGTTCAGTAAGGAAAAGACCAGGCTCTCTGGGAATCTCTACTTATCAAAATAGCATTTGATTTCCCTGTAAAACTCCCATTTTGAGGGCAGTGGTTCCTGAGCAACATTTCCCAGCCCTTATCACCTTCTTAGAAAACATCTTCAGTATAGTCAGTGTTTTCAGTTGGGGGTTGCCTTTCACTGCAGCACCATTTTTTCACTAGCCAGATTAGGGCCTATGTAGTGATAATGTAGCAATAAAGCTGTCTAGAAAGTGCTGAGTTGTAACAGCAAGTAGTAGTTACTAAGTAACTCCTGATTGCCAGCTCTGTGCATGTATTTTAGAAAGGCAAATCCGTGAAATATATAATAATATGCGTGTATTTTTTGTGTCACTCATGAATAGTTGAGAACGCATACAGATGGTAAGCTGTAAATGCCAAGTGTCTGGGATCTGTTTGAAAATTCTGGTCAGATCGTATCTAGCAGCATTCACCAGTGGCTAGGCATATGTGTTACATTGTTTTGGTATTGTATTTGGGGAATGTAGATGGTCTCTTGGTATGGCTTTTCTTCTTCCTTGTGGAAGAGCCTACACTGGGGAAATGGCACACATCTAAACCCACCCCCTTCATTCACACAGCCCATGAAGAAACCAAGAGAAGAGTGTGTAACACAAGAGTGGCTTTCTAATAGTTAGACTTGGAAGCCGTAATGTTAAGCTTTTGAATCTGGAAAAGGTAGCACTTCTAAATTGTTTGGATCAATTGTGGGCATAGAAGAAGGTGATGCATATTCTTACTGCTATAGCACACAAAGACCTCACCACCCCTCACTAGAGAGAGTGCCCTGTGCAATAAGTCTCCTCTCAAGGAATACCGATGATTGCCCAAAAGGATGCATCACCTATCTGTAGTCTCTGCAGTAACTACACAGAATCTAGAAAAACAGTTGTACATGATGAGATGAAAAATTTTGAGAAGTTATATTTAATTTAATAAATGAGGATGGTGAAAAATTAGATGAGTAGGTGGAATCCTGGGTCTGTTGTTTTCGGTTCAGAAACATGTCTTTTAAAAACAATTTTATGATGTTTTTAGTTGACACAAATTAAATTTAACCACTTTTCTACTTTGTAAGAAAAATGATTCGTGCATGTTGCTGTGAGCTACACAAGCCATTTAAGAAACACAGAAATCCACAGCTGGACCAGAATTGAAGAAAGAAACCAGATTCTTAACTTTTCTAGTTTAAATGACAACATTATACTTTTTTAGGTCTTTGTTTTTTCTTTGTGGGTTACGCTTTTGAATTCCATTCCCATTAATGTTAAATAATGAGATTGATTTTAGAAACAACGAACAAATTTATTTTAAAGATAATTGCCACATCTGCATACTAGTTGATTAGCTGATATTTTCAGGGAACTCAACTTTTAAGAGCAACTTTTTGAGAATATTAAATTAAAAATTAGATAAGCTTTTATAGCTCTTCTCTGTTTACATGTAAAGGTAATGTCAGTGTATTAGGTAACACAGTAAATCTTGTTTCTATGTCTTTTTAAAATCAAACCACATCTCCAGAGGAATTCTCATCAAAAGTCAAAAAATGTAAGATGCTGAGAACAGGCTTATGCGCAGAAAACAACACTCTTGATGGTACAGGGGAGGGCAGAGGAAGAGAAGGAGTAAGAAACCCTAACTAGACAGTAAACGAGCCTTGATTCTCATGAAGAAAGGCGTGACAGACTATATTAGGTTGTATCAGTGGACGCTAGTGTATGTATATATAGTGGTTGGTATTTCTGTATACATATTTGCAAATGATGCAGGAGTACTCATTTGAGGGAGCTTCAAAAAGTTGGTGAAAATGGAATGAAAAGATAATAGATTTAATCACCTTTCAGGTCTGAAACCGAACTCACTCCCGTAGCTCAGCTTTTAGCCAAAGAGTAGACAAGTTTACACAGGGAACAGGAACCCTGGTGAGGGAGGCCACACACCTTAGAACAGCCGACCATTTTAGATCTAAAGGGCAGCATTTCCACCAGGACTCAGTTCAGAAGCGCTCGGAAAGGGGGGTGCACACAAGGAACAGGGAGGATGTGGGATCAGTTAGTTCCATTGAGGGAATTGCAGTGAATGCATATGAATTATTGGATGTGAACTGATGAGATGCTCTGTAAACCCTTACCCATTTATCAATAAAAAGTTCTTTAAAAAAGATAATGGAATTGTTTCCTGAACTCTTTAAAGCTTCTTTAGATCTGTATAATAAAACACATAAGGGGCAAAGTAATAGAAACTACTTAGACATCAGAACTGAAGGCTAAGGACCTTAGTCTCAGGGGACATCTAAGGTCAATTAGTAAAACCCAGTTGATCAAGATAATGTGTGACCTAGTCTTTAACATTTTGCAAGCAGTCATCTAAGATACAGTTAGTTATTGGTCAATGTCATCCCATCCCTTCTCACCCCCACCCCCACCCCCACCCTCGCACACATAGGAGAATTGAAACTCAAGGAAGCAATGAACCCAAAGGACTAATGGCCACACGAATCGCAACCTCCTCTAAATGGAGTCCAGAACTAGATGGGGCCCAGGTACCACTACCAACCATTCTGATCAAGATTACAATAGACAGTCTCAGGTAGCATGAGTTTTTAGAAGTGTAGAACAGAAAGTGCCGCCCCACCCTCACCGAAAAAAAATGACTAGAGGAATCTCTGAGGCTATTGCCCACAGAAAACCTTCTAACTTGAAACTAAAGACTCTTCCAAGGCCAGCTTCCAGCCAAATAATAATTAGAACTATAAAGTGAACAGTGTGAAGAATGTGCTCTTTAGAACCCTAGAGCAGGCAAAAGGGCCACATCTGCCCAGGAATGAAGGCAAGAAGACTGGGAGAGCAAGGGAACTGGCTGAGTGGAACAGGAAGCCCAGAGAGGAAATGGGGAGGAGGCTGGCATGTTGCAGGAATTGTAACCAGATTACAGCATGATTTGTATATGAATTATTCATTGGGTGATTGATGAAACTTTTGAAAGCTCCTTTAGATCTACATAATAGAGCACATTATATAGGGGCAAAGTAATAGAAACTACTTAGACATGTTTGTAAAGTTTCATCTGCAGAAGACTAGATGCTATGTATTTTCCTAAAACACCCAAACTTACCGCCCTCAATTCAATTCTGACTCTTAGCAATCATCTGGGACAGAGTAGAACTGCCTGGGTGGGTTCCCAAGACTAAACATTACGGGGAGTAGCAAGCCTCATGAAGATGGGTTCAAACTGCTGACCTTCTGGAACCCACTCTATAGCAAGGCTGCTCAGGCTATCTATTAGTAACAGTCATATAGAAAATATTGTAAAAATGAAACAACACAAACTTTCTATAGAAGTAAATCTTTTTAGAAAGTTGTATGTTATAACAATTCAGGAATATTTTTTGCACGAACAGTGCCATATTGAAGAGATTTTTGAGATGGAAAAAATATAACCAAGACTTTGAGGGAAATGCATTACTCTATTTTTCTCCTCTAAGGGTGAACCCTATATCAGCTTCCATTCAATCTGTAAACCTGTTTGTTTTTGTTTTTGCATTTGCAGCGCAAATCCAGAAAAACCATGTGCATCATCATTTCTATCGTTGTTATTGGAGCTGTGATTATCGGTCTCATCATCTATGGAGTGAAAGGCTAAAATTAGAAACGCACGCACTGCTGCACCACATTCTCTATAAATTATGTAGGAAGATTCCTGAATCATGTTTGTTTTTAATACTATTATTGCAAAGCTATTAAGTAAAGAATGGTTCCCATTCTTTGTTATTTTTATTTGAGGAGAAGTTTCCTTTGCATTCAAATCAGATATTTTCTAATACTGAAAGGTTTTCTAAATACCCCTGCTGGCATAGCTTCCCTGGTTTTCAACCTATTAACTGTTAGGTTTTAGCCTACATTGTATATGCCTTTCATTTATAATTTATTATCCCTGTTGGCTTAGTTTTGAGAATTAGTAGACTAAGGGTGTTTGTGTCTGAATGTGTTCTCTGTCACTGTGAATATATGCACCCCGATTTGTGTTATTTTAATTAAAAATCTCAAATCTAATTTCAACTTGGACCAGCAGAGAAAGGATTCTCAATAACTTTTAAGAATTAACGTACTGAGTTTTGTTTTGGCTTTTTTATGTGTTTGTGGGGGTTGATTTTTTATTTTCTTTTTTCTGTTCACAACAGGACAAATTACATGTTTAACTTTTATTATTGGTTTTTTTCTTCAGACCTTTGTTTACTATAAAAGAATTCAGTAAATAATTACCTAATATATCATATTCCTCTTGTGTACATATAAAGCATTTGCTGTAGATTGCCTAGTAAAATACTAAAGATAGAGTGTTTATTCATAGGCTCGTTTTAGGTCTGACATTCTCTGGGGAAAGTGTAGCCCTCATAAATGATCATTTTAATTTTGAAGAAGAGTATGAAAAATCATTGCCTACTTTTTGGACTTGAAAATTCTCAACTTGCTGCCCCACTGAAAGTCTTAAATACAGTATTGCGATGTGGGTTGTTATTTACTTTCCTTAATGACCCATAGAACAATGGTTACTTGCATATGTATCTTTGGATCAGAATTACTTTTGAAAAGTAACCCTCCTTCGATGACTGTTTTTGAGCACCTGATGTGCACAATGTAGTAAATTTAGAGCTTGACTTGCGTGCCATTTTGTACCAGCCTTCATTAGAAAAGGAATTAGATGTTTTGCCAATTGTGTCACTTTGCCTTTTTAAATCAACGTTGTTTTAATGGCCTAATCTGAATACTGTAAAGAAAATTAAGTTTATAATTTGTATTTTATAATGTTCTTATATAGTGAAGTTTGATAGTGAAGGCAATGTTTTACATGGCAAGCCATGACTCTTCACATGGGAACAAAGACCATGCTAAGTACCTAAATAAATGGTATCCCTGCAACCAAAATAAAAATAACCCCAAAAAAGCCTTTGGAGGTCTGTATTTCATAAGGACTCTGCTTGGATGGAAGATGCTTAGCACACACTGGGTGCTGACCTACCTGTAATCACGACACATGGGAAGCAACCACACAGCCACCATTCCACATCTTCCTGGAGCAATGATCTAGTCAAAGTGCTGTGTTTCTGTGACTGCAAAAGGCTTTGCCCCTAACAGGTAGGAACTGTTTGGTAGAGATGTCAGAAAAAAGTGATTTTGTTTGTCCCATAAAAGTAAGACCTTAGAAAGCTTGTTTGTTAGTGAGTGATTCAAAACAGTGATTTTGTGTTCCTAGAGAATCAGGTTGCATGAATTAACAGGGTGAGCCACGTAGCCAGGAAAACTCATGCATAGATTCCCTGTTCTGGGGTTGGTGCAAGGCATTGAGCTCAGACACATTTCTCTGCAAGTCCACAGAAAAGGGTACTTGCCTCTGTTTTAAAAAGGGGTCTTGTCAATTCTCTAGGGCTTGGTAGTACTGTCAGGTAAGCACTGGACTGCTAGCCTCAAGGTCAGGGTTTCAAAACCCCAGTTACTCCATAGGAGAAAGACAAAGGTATCTGCTCCCATAAGGACTTGTGGTTTGGGCAACCCTGCATCGGGCAACTGTCCAGACCGACCAAATAGCAGCGGGTAGCAGCTCTGCGTCAGTTCCACTTCCTACCACACATCTTTAATATGGTGTTTGCTCACATTATGACAAATTGCATGAACTTCTGTTCGCCTTAGTGAGTTCCCCATACCTGCAAACAGACTTTAAAAAGAAAAGGCATGATTTTTTAACCTCTATTTAAAATATAGTGATTTAACAATTGTTAATTTAACGAGGACTCTAGTGGCATATAGATTTTGAATGGAAATTTTACAGAGCACACTGAGAACACAAAAAGTACATTGTCGATTAGAAAACATGTAGTGATGTGGGAAAATAAAAATTCCTCATAAAGTTTTTCTTAAGATTAGATTCAGAATTGCTTTGGAAGGAGAAGCTTAGCATATCAGAAATAAAATGAGATTTCTTTTCCTGATGAAATGTCTGAATCTGCCTGAGGCCATTTTGAATCAAATTGATTATCTCTCTTTGGGAAAGTTTCCTTAGCAAGTGACACACTTACTCACCGTGAACCCAGAAGACACACTTGAGTGACTCAGACCAAGCTTAACCAGCCTCGCAGTTAAGTAGAATAACTTGTATGTGGCCATTGTGAAGGATAAAAGCAGTTGCCGTCAAGTGTTTCACCTGATTTTCCCAGAACTAAGTTACCATGCTTCTCTACATCGGCATCTCCGTCTCCATCGGCATCTACATCTACATTGGCTCCAGCCTCCAGCTTTTCAAGGATCACCGGAGCACATTAATCACGTGTACCACACAGGGACTCTCTGTGGCCGTTGTACTAGTCATTAGTTATTATGAAAGTCATTTTGGTAAGAGGGTGTGTGTTCCCATAGAACTCAAGGGGGGCAATGTAGGAGTCAAGAGAAAGGCTGATGAGCACAGCCAACTTGATTCCCATCGGCGCCATAACCAAGAAAATGGGCTCCCCCTCAGTGACTCAGCTGCTTCTGCAAGCAGGTGACTATTCTGGCAATTATGGTTACAATAATGGCAACCAGGGATTTTATCAGGATATAGGGCAACTCTGGAAATAAGTAGGAGACTAGAAATGATAGTAGCAAGATATGATAGGCTCTTGGTGGATATTTGCTTAAAATATTAGGTGGTTCATCTCAGTAGCTATTTGTTATTTGTATTGGACTGAAGAATGAATAAGGTGTCTGTATTCATGTCTATTTCCCATCACTTCAATCATTCTGTTGGACACCGTTGGGCTTGCAGGGTTCCCTTCTGGGCTTACAATGCTGTTACCATTGTCAGGGTTCATTTCGCTTCAGAACAAGCTGGACACAGGGTTAAACCATGATTCTGTAGAACCTTTGGTTTGGAACAATTTCATTTGGGGGATTTTGTATATATTCCATACAAGAGGGGTATGCTATAGGTAAAAATACAAGCTAATGCTTTGTCTTAGTTTTAGGAAATGAAAGTAAACATGATTGAAGTTTTCTTATATTGAAAATAACCTATATGATTGTATCATGTTTGCATCTTTAGAAGTATGTTAAATTGCTTTAACTCCTCACCTCTTGTGGAAATCAGCCCTTCAAAGTTTGTTTGGTTTCTGTTCTTGGATATGATTGTATTTCCAATTTTTTGTTCATGGAAGGATTCAATAAAACTTAGGTCATTGAACAAAATAAAAAAGCCTAAGTATGAGCATAAGTGGAGCTTGCTCTAGGACAGCGGACCCTGGAGGCAGCAGCATCTGGAGTCAGAACCACAGAGCACAAGATGCCTCAGCAGTGTCAGCATCATTAACTGAACCCTACAGCGAAGGTCAATGACATCATTGCTTTTGTTAAACATGTTTAATAATTTGTGGGGAAAGAAATAGTGTTCTGAATATCAATCTTTTATAACAAATTTATACTGATGAAGTGACTGAAAATTTCCTGTTCCACAAAGTTGGCTAATGGCTTATCTAAGAAAGTGCAAAATTGTCTTTGTACTAGGTGTAATTTTGTGTGTGTCTTCATGTATAAGAAGTAATCTAATAAAAGAGAACACCTGCGTAAAGAAAATAAGTCACTGTCCACTTTAATAGAGTTCTTGCGGAGAAAACTACCCCAAATTCAAGTATCATTTAGAGAGACAACACAAAGACAGATCTATCTGGATGAGGAGGTCATCAGCATGAGGCAGTAATGGTGGCCAAGGAGTTACAGAAACAGCCACTTAAATAGGACTTAGAGCACGAGGGAAACTCAGAAAATCATGGTTGGTCATTACATCACAGTTGCAGGCAAGACCACAGAAGCAGGAAAGGGACCATCATTGGATGTATCCTATTCTAGCTAGAAGAGATTTGAAGATTGATTCATAGCCTGCTGATCAAGACAATAGTTTGATTCCTGGTCAAGTGGACCCTAATACCCCAACTTCCATCAATGAAAGAGCAAAGCAAGTCCCAAAGGTTATACTGCCCCTCTCTAGACTGGCGAGGGGAGTGGTAGTAATCCACTTTCTAACACTCTGCCTGAGGGCAAAGCTGGTCACATTTCCAGGTAATGGTCCAAATTCGGTGGAAGCCGAATCCATATACAGACTCAAAAAAGGGTTTGGGTCTTTTACTACTGAAATTTTCTGAAAATGTTCAGAATTTAAGCTCTAATACAATGTAATGAATGATTCACAAAGTTACCTTATTCTCCATGTATTTTTGAAATGCAAAGTTGAAAGTATTTTCTTACACATTGCCAGGTTCCTCCAAAAAATGAAGTTTCAGAATGAGATTAAGAGTTGAATGAATGTATACTTACCTAGCAGGGGAGATACCATGATACAAAGGTGGTTTTCCGAGGGCGAAGCTTATCCGTTGCACTCCGGATGTGCTGACCCCTGCGATTTCCCCAAATGTGGGAAACTCAACTGCATAATTTGTGGTGGTGGGGGACTACATTCGCGCTCTCCCGTGGGGAAAAAAAAAATTGAATGAATAATAGGAGGCGGGATAGTGCAATAGTTAATTTCTTGACTGTTAACCAAAGGGCTCAAGGTTTGAACCCACCCATCACTCCATGACGAAAGTCCGGGAAGTCTCAGAAAGTTTGCAGTCCAGAAAAATTGCATTGGGCAGTTCTATGCTGCCATTTGGAGGTTATTTTGTCAAAACTCGATGGCACCTAACAACCCACCTCAGTTGGATGGTATTTTCAGTCCGTATACATGTGATTTCCATTCCTGGACAGAGTTCCAGTCTTGGAAATTCATCGGGCCAGTTCTACCTTGACCTTTAGGGTCACTATGAGTCGGCATCGACTCATTGGGAGGGAGTGAATGAGTGGTAAATAAGGAGCCTCAGCAGAGAATTTACTTTCCTGGGGGGTGGCCGTGGGTGGGTGGGAGCATTGAGTATTTTCATGGTTTAGTTAAAAAAAAAAAAAAGCTGACATCTGCATCCTATACCTCTTCAGTCTACCCTGGAACATGAGCACCTTAGGGTGGGAGAAGGGAGGGATGGGCATGGATGGTTTAACAGAATGATGATTTCATTTCTTGAAATGGGCTGTGTAATATATATGCCACGTTTCTTAAAAAGCCCCCCCCCCAAAAAAAAAATCCAGGTTCCTTATCCCTTAAACCTAGATAGTGGCTTGAGTGGCTTGAAAAAGAAAAGAAGAAGAACCAGTAGAGGAAAAGTAAATTTGAGATGGACTTGGAGTCTAGCAACTGTGTTAGGCGGGGATGACTACAGAAACAAACCCAGTGACACTCGTATATGGTCAGAAAGAGCTGTATCAAGAAGTAGTTGTGCATCAATGAAACACCCCAGCCATCCTGCTGAAGTCCAACAGTCCATAAGTCCCTTAGTTACAAAAATGGAAAAGCCCGTAACTAACCCCTAACAGTGGTTCTCAACCTGTGGGTCGCGACCCCATTGGGGTTGAACAACCCTTTCACAGGGGTTGCCTGATTCATAACAGCAGCAAAATTACAGTTATGATGTAGCAATGAAAATAATTTTGCGGTTGGGGGTCACCACAACATGAAGAACTGTATTAAAGGATTGCAGCATTAGAAATGTTGTGAACCACTGCCCTAACAAATCAGAAGCACTCATTCTCAAAAGACTGGTGACTTTACCTGCTTTCAACTAAGTAACTGAGCTGTATTTTTTAAGAGACGATGAGAAAACTGATAGTTTATAAAAAGCAGCTATTTAAGTGGTGATCTGGATATAATAGTTCCAAAGGCAACCTTTTCTTGGTGGCAGAAACTGTATGTAATTCTGACTTAGAGTCCTGATACACTGGAAGATACGGAACACTCACAGAGCTCTTATTCCCAGTAGGGGGCAGAGCATTGGAAGGAAGGAAGTGTGTGTGTGTGTGTTGTGTAACCTCTATTTCATCAGAATTTGAATCAAAGCAAATATGTTAAGTGGGTGTCTACTAAAATGTTCATTAAGTGTTTGTAATTTAACCCTATCACATCCCTTGGCACATCTATAAGTGTCTTGTAGTTACTTGTTTGTTTAAATAGGAAAGAAATAAAGAAAATCTTAATATTCATGATGACTCATCTTCATGGTTTAAATACAATATCCATATATCACTGACAATCCATTGTTTGGTAGTTGTTTTGTTGACCTGAAAACTATAATGCATTTTCCCTGAATAATCCTAATTTTAAATGAAGAAACAGAACTAAATAACTGGACACACAAAATAGGTTTTTATAGACACTGTTGCTTCTGGCAAGTTTTTAAGAGGTTGGTCACTTAATCACTCAGAGTGGGACCCTTGTAGGTTTTGTGTAGCTATGTCATTCCTGCTTAAAATGTGTGTGGTAGAAGGCAAAACCAGATTTCCTGTACAGTCTTTATCGGCACAACACCCTTGCTTGTTTAGAGGGAGTCTGCTAGAACTCAACTGAGTCTTTAAATAAACTTCAAAGGGAATTAATTCCCACTTTGGCCAACCCAAAGTACAAACTTTTAAGTGTTTACCGTAAGTGCTGCTAGACAGTATTGGTAACTCCAAAACTATTCCCATTGATGGGAAGCTTAGAAATGCAGTTCTTTAGCATTATCTAAGACATACAGATACTCGTTTTAGTACCTACTGCTCACTGGAGGTTTTATACTGAGTGTTTAATGGTAGATATGTAATACTAAAGTCAGACCAGGATGAAGAGAACCAAATTTATAGCTTTAGAAACTAGAGGTTTAGTCTCATTAATAAAATGCAAACCTTTGCCCTTTCAGTAAATCACACAGCTAAAACCTAATCATGAAGATTGTTCAGATCACACTTGATCCTTTTGTCAATAATAATTCTGGAAACAAAGTCAAATTACAAGTGAGAAATATTATATCTGTATTTTTTCTTTCCCCAAACAAAAGTGCTAAAGTAATTTGAACTTAACTGCATGAGTTTATCAATATGCCTACCTAAATTTTGAGCACCAAATTTAATATTTTAATCACCCTAAGGGTTTCATTATTTTAACATTTAATAATTTTTTGCAATGGAATATATATCAAAATTAATAAGATAAACGATGAGAAATACCTTTTAATTTCTATCTAATACTAGAAATTACATAATATGAAGAAGAATATGGCAATAGAATTCCAGGGTGACTCTTTAACAGCCTCTGATATGCAGATGATACAACCCTGCTTGCTGAAAGCAAAGAGGAATTGAAGCACTTACTGATGAAGATAGAAGACTACAGCCTTCAGTATGGATTACAACTCAATGTAAAGACAATAAAAATCACAACTGGACCAATAAATAACATCATGATAAATAGAGAAAAGATTAAAGTTATAAAGGATTCACTTTATTTGGATACACAATCATTGCTGGTCAGAGCAGTAGTCAAAAAACCCAAGTATGTATTGAATTGGGCAGATCTGCTGTGTAAAACCTTTTTAAAGCATTAAAGAGTAAAGATGTCATTGTGAGGACTAAGGAGAGCCTGACCCACGCCAGGTGAAGTAAGGAAGTTCAAGTAAGGAAGATTGCAAAGCAGTTTATGTATTTCAACTATGGTGTTGGTGAGGAATATTGAAAGTATCCCAGACAGCCAGAAGAGCAAACAAATGTCTCTTTTATCTTGAAGATGGGCATCATGCTAGGTAAAGCAGAAGGTCTGTCAATAAGAGGAATACACTAAACCTGATTGACACAGTGGCTAACTACCACAATGGGCTCAAGCATCAGAACAATTATGAGGCCGACTCAAGACAAGGCAGTTTTTCTGTTGTACATGGGATCACTTCACTCTAAGCCAATTTAATGGCACCTAACAACAGAACGTGTGTATAGAATCTCATTTGGGAATGCATTTATCTGGTTGTGTTAATGATGCAGTTAGTGTAGGGTATGTTTAAGCTCGTCACAGTTGAGATAGAAAAGGCAAGATACAGCTTTCAGACAGAGGCATGAGGTTGGGTAGAACAACCTTTCATTCGATAAGCATTTGTTGTATTCTTAATAAATGCTAGACCCTGAGAAAAAGCAAACATCTCATTCAGCAGATCTGACACTAAAGATCAGATAGTGGAGTTTGCACACTTAATTAGAAGCAAAGGTCATTAAAGCTTCAGCCTTGTATCCAGGAAAACTTTTATTTGCCCATTCAGGAATTTTATTTCCAGAAAAAGAGCAAGACAATGAAAATGTTGGATGAAAGGTTTCTTTCAAACTTTTCTGAATTGACAAGTTTTTCCACCCCAATCGTCATGATGCTGAGGGGCTTTAGAAACACAAGCTACTGTGTGTTCAGACCAAGTTCTTGGCCTCGGTAAGATGAATGTGCAGACCTACTTACTATATGGTGATCAGGGTCAGGTAGTTTAAAAAGAAATTACAATCTGAATGGAATCAAGGATGAACAGTGTTGCTATTGAGCCACGAATCCCAGCTAATAAGCATAACCTTGTAAAGAGAGGTTAGAGTTTGGAAAACTGCTTGTTCTTACGAACGGGGAAAGCTTTTGCGATATAAATAGTTGTAAGTGTACTTGCTTTCATGTTTCATGCCTTCATCCTCTGTATTTAGAATTTTTGCATCCC